GCTCCTGTCCCCTCCCCGGAGGTCTCCGCTTTCCTCTCAGGAGTGGCATGCTGCCGGCCCTTAGCTCCTCAGAAGGCCTGGATCAAAGCTAGGTTCTCAAAAAGCAAGTTTCTTCCTGGAAAAAGGGACATTCTGAGGAAAAATGAATTTTCATTTTTAAGGAAAAGCGTTTCTGTGGTCAGTAAGTCACGTTGTGACGTTGTTTCCTGCGGTTACATGTATCCACGGGGGATTTCTGCACCTCTTCTTGCCCATTGGAACCAGTTATTTGTGAACTGTATGTTTAATGGGCTCTTCAGGCTTTATTTTTGGTAGTGATGCAATAACTGTACTTTCAGTGTGTTTTAGGTGGTCGAGGGCTCATTTAATTGTGTCAGAATTTAGACAGAAAAATGGTATCCAGTCATATTCGTGGACATTGTGGAACATGACTGATAAAAGTGAAATCCATAAAAGGTGCTTTGGGTTTTTGAGTGAAATGTGGGCAGGTGAGAAGAAAAAAAGGTCAAAATACATGTTAGTTTATCCTAGAGTTTCTTTCTCTGGAGAAAAAAATAAACAACTGAAAGACCATTTCATTGCAATAAAATAATTCTGCAGCATATAATAGAAGCAACTGTGTTTGAGAGTAAAGATGCATGTCTGAAAGTCCTTAGACTTTCACATGCTCTTATATGTGTGGGAATTGCTTTGCCCCTCTCAAAATGTGCACCAAGTTTGAAGGAGGTTGACTTTGTCTGATAGGAGCTGAGCAGGCTTCCTTCATGGAGGATTGCCAGAACCTGCCATCAGTGTGAAACTCGTCTTTGTACGCGAGCTCTCTGGCTGTGCGGGTGTCGCAGCAAACAGGAGCGGCTCTGTACAGCAAACCAGTGGGTAGTGGGGCCCAGACACCCAGGCTGTACGTGTCTCAGGGACTTCTTACCCTGGACTGGCTGTAGTCTGGGAGCCTACTCCCCCTTCACAGCCATCTTGCGTTAAGGTGTGGTGCACAAGCTTGTTCTCCAGTTTCATCGAAAAGGAATCCACGTGGTATTAATCTCTGTTAGCACTCCCTGATGAAACAGAGCACAACAGTTGGGGGTAATTAGGAGATTTCCTTCCAAAGCATGCTCATCTGAGCTAAAATAGTGCAGATGTTTCTGCGTGCTTTGTCGTGCTGATTTGGGAGGAGGAGAGTGAGGGAGGGAGTGTTTAAGGAGAGATGGGATAGGACCCTTGTGTTGAGAGGGAACATGTCAGAGTTGGTTTCAGACGTTCGGGTATCGTGCCTGTGCACCAGAAAGAGGTGGTGCTGTTGTTCTGACCACAGAGACCTGTTCTCATCATTTAAATTCTGATGTTTAAGGACAATGGCTTGAACCATATGGATGCAGTCAACTTCTCTGAAACACCTATCTGTTTGGCTTTCTGTGACATCAGTTTGTAAATCTTTTTGTATCACCAGCTTAGTTGTATAATCCCTTCACACGCTCTGGGACTTCATGTGTCTGTCACTTCAGGATGTGTCAACTTCCTCCCGTGGGATTTCTGCCTATTTTTAGGGCAGCTGTGATCACAACAGTGTTTAGAAGATGGAGCACAGTGCAGTGGACAGACTTTAAATAGCACTTGCCCTTTTTAGTGGAGTATTTCTTTTATCCTGGAGGAAGAAGCAAATTGAGACACATGTTCAGTTCTGCATAGTAGTCCTTCTTAAGAATTCCCTTTGGAGTCAGTATGTGGTTCTTGTTTCTTGCCTGCAACTTTTAAGGCAGGCTTGTCTGAACAGCACATGATACCTGGAGCATTTCACTGCACGGGGGAGTGTTTTGTGACTTGGTTTCACAGGCTGGAGAAAGGAGTCCATGCAGGCAGCTCTCTGCTTCACGTAGGCAGGTCCCTGTAGCTGAGGCACCAGCTCATTCATGCACCTTTCCTCCTACACACCAAAACACACCCATTGGTGTTGTGTAAATCACTTGCAGAGGGAGATGACTCACTAACTTTTGCTTCTTGCATCCAAAAGAGTTAACTCATCTGTACAGTTTTGGTTTTTTTTTAAGATGCAGGAGTCTAACCTGTGAGGTGTCTAGCAAGGCTGCTTTCTCAGCTGCATTTCAGGTTCTTTGGTTCATCCCTACCATGGCTAATTTCCATCCTTGCAGCTCTTTAAATGAAGTGTGAGATGATAAAAGACAAAGCCTGCGGTTAGTGCTTACTGCAGACATACCTTATGTTTTCACAGAAAGCTTTGCAGTTGTTCAGAATCAATCCGTGAAGATTTAAAGGCTTGGTGAACGGGGTCCTTCTCTGTCCCTGCCTCTGGTTTAGTCTACTTATGTAACTTGAAAAAGTGCTGTGTTAACCAGTCAACAAAACAAATGTATCTTAAAAATCATTCAGGATCGGGTCTTGTGCCCCAAAAAGATCCATCTGCAGCCAGGGATAAAATGTGGGGTTTTCTTCTGTGTTGCCATTCCTGGAACCCAGAACCACAGTGGCTGGGCAACTTTTTGAAAAGGGCCTATTGATAGCTCCTTGCCTTGTTCTTTAAGGATTAGTGCGAGGAACATCCTGTTCTAGAGCAAGTGTATGTAGCAGAAGCACTTCCAGACTTGTGTTTGGTGTGTCATGTGTTGCAAAGGAGTGGTTTGACATACAGATCAGGTTTTAAGTACCCACTTAATAAAAAAATTTCATATGCAAATATCTTGAGGTGGGAAAAGGAAGTTTGTTATTAGTGCTGTGAGATGTTTAGCAACTTGGTATTAAAGATAAAATGAGCCAACACCTGGGTGGCTAAACAGGGAGTGGTAGGAGGTGCTTGGTGGTCTTTGGGTAGATCTAAATCTCTTAAACTGCGCTTTGGTTGTAGACCTGAGCCCGTCTAAGCCCTGGCTGCCACCCGAAGCAGAACACCTTTTCCCTTCCCCATATTCTCCCTCCCACATCTCACCAGGCTTCACGTGTTTGTCTTCTCTTTTGTACTGGCACTTGCGCTCATCTGATCTGTCAGCAAACCTATTCAGGGACACAGACAGAAAAGTAGTTTTGTTTTGTAGTGTTGGTTTTCAGCTGGTTTAACTCCCTGAACCTTCGTTCTGCATAGTTCCAGTAGTGGAATAAGGGGAGCAAATCTGCCCCTTCTAGTTGCCGCTATAAGCTTAGTTTAGCTGGATTGCTGAACAACACTTAGGTCTCATGACCAGTTTGACAGACCTGGAAAAAAAACAGCTGTGCACTTCTGCAACATTGTACCTGAGCAATATAGCCTTGCTGAAAAGTAAGAAAGCTTAGTGGTGCAGGCCAGGTAACATGAACTCAGCTGTATTGATTCTGGGGCCTAAATTAGTATGTCTGTGCAGTGTTGAATTGTGCTGTATAAACACAGAAGTTTGAGTCAGTGCCAGTGCAGTGATTTCTGTGCTGTGCTGCATTTCGCATGGTAAATGTGTGCTGAGTATGTGCAAAACCCTCTGTTAAAGGGGATGCTGAAAGCCCTGCTCAGAGCCCAGGTGTTCCCAGAAAAGGAGACACTCTTCCTTGTTAAGTGTAAGCAAAAATGTTTCTGGAATGGAGCTGGTTTGGAAGTAAATTGGTGTAAGGCATGAGAGGGAGGTGGGCTGAGGCTTTGGCCTCATGCTGGCAGGAATGGGTCTTGTCTAGGTCTGTTTGGATAAGGAGGTGGTGTAGGAGAGGGAGTGAAAACTCTTTTTGCTATTTTGCTATTGGAGTGAGAGCATTGTTAACACAGGTGAAGGGCTTTCTGGAAAAGAACTGAATGAAGTGAAAAATATTTTCTTTATTTTTCAAAGTTTTTTCCAGCTTGCTGGTTTTGATCATCTTTTGACCAAACTGTTTTCAGAAAGACTTCTATTATCTAGTTTTTGGGAAACCTGTGAGGTAGTGACAGTATCGAATGGGCTGCTAAGCACCTAGGTGGTGTTTATACAGCTCAGTCCAATTATCTGACTCTGTGGTTGTTTCATCATTTCATCTGCAAGCTATGCAGTCAGCCTCCTGGATGAGCTCCACCTGCAGTGCCAACATGAACCATTGACAAGTGTGCTTTTAGTTGAAAAGTGTAATTAGGATGGAAGAGTCATTGGAAATAAGGTAGGCTTCAGTGCTGGAGGCTTGGGCTTATTTTGGGTTTTTTTGCTAGTAGATAAAAACAGTTGAAGTGTTTAGAACTGTTGGAAAATTTTAGGGACTATTTTCAGTTGACATGTTCAGTCCCTTTTCCAAACATAGCTAATGGAGTTGTGACGGTCCTGGCAGAAGGTCTCAGAATATTTGGGCTGCACACACCTTAGTCATGTCTCTGAGAGTTCTGTTCGGTTTTTAACTGTTCTTTATGCAGTGGACATGAAAGTTGTGTACGTCTAGCGATTGCTAGGTGGAAATCCACAGCCATTCCGCTGGCGTGACTTGCCCTTTTGCAGTCATTGTACTGTCTTAGATAGCAGGCGAGGATCTGCCTGCCTGTATTATTAAGTGCCATGGGTTTGCAAATCTTACTGAATTTTTCTTAGAACATTTGGGGTTTTTAAAATAACTATAAAACCAACTTTATACCACATTTCCTTTTCAAGGCTACCTTGCAAAACTCCCACCTGTACTGGGAGGTCAGCAAAAATGCAACCCACAGCTTGTCTTCCTGTGAAAATGTGACTCTTTTCAAGGTGTGTCAAAGAAGTGGTGTACAGCCTATGTAGTGACACATGAGTCTAAAATAAAAGAACTTTTCCAAACATCTGTCTCTGTGTTTCTGTGCTAGTTGTCGATATTTTCTGAAACAAGCTAATATTTTATCTAGAACCCTGTTTACCTTTTTGAATTGAGCCTGCTTTTAGTAATGACACTAAAATAGAATTATTCTTTTTGACCCTGTTGTTACTTAACTTTCCTTCTTTGTCACTAGCTTGTATTTCAGAGAGTCCCCATGTGTTTTCAGCACTGCAGCTCAGCAGAGAAGTACAGGAGACGAGTCTGGCCCAGAAGATCCCCGTGATGAGCCCAAGCATCCCCTTTCTGACTGTGCCTTAGAGCACAAAGCCATCAAATTGGAAGAACAAGTCCGGGATTTAACTGTGAGTATGCTGCTGGTGGCATGATGATGTCTTTTGTTCAGTCCCCTTGACTTGGTCTGTCTTTCGGCCCTGGCTTTTTCTGTAAGCCCAGGAAAATTATGTGGGAGATGGTCTGGTCAATTCCTCCGTGGCATTGTACAGAGGGCATGGCAGTAGCTTTGTCCTGATTAGTGTCACGTACTGTGTTGCACCAGATCCAGATTGTCCAAGAAGGAAAGTCCTCTTTAGTGACAGGGATGTGGTGGAAATGGTAGCAATCATGTTATAGGGACTTTGAAGAACAGATGTGACTAAGGAGAGGATTAAATACTATGGCACTGGGCAGGCAATTCTGGAGATAATCACCCTGAGAGTAGTACTACTGCACCAAGCGATAAATCAGCCAGTTGCAGATCTGTTGCTGAGACCACCAGCTTGCCTGTGAGAGAGAAAGGAGTGTCTCAGTAGCTGCAGTGAGTCATGCAAAAAGCAGCAGCCTGACAATGCAGCAGTTGAGCTGCACCCTGAATGCTTCTGGCCTTCGCTTGGGTCCTTTCCAGGGAGTTGTGCTCATTAACCATTAGGAGGGGGATGTGGGTTTGCACGTAATGAAAACGCAGGAGCCCAGCACAGCCTTCTGACCTGAAGGGGGCTCTTTTTAAATTGTTGCCAAGGGATTGCTAATTTGTCAGGAAATGAGTTTTATCTCCTTGTTTGATGTCTCCCCTTGCCATTGTGGTTACAGGAGCGATACCGGAAAGCTTTGGCAGATTCTGACAATGTCCGGAGGAGAACGCAGAAGTTTGTGGAAGATGCCAAGCTCTTTGGTAAGCCAAGTGAGGCAAAGCAGTGTTTACTGTGGTGGCCTGCCTGCCTGAGCGTAAAATGCTGATAAACAGCTTTTCTCTCCCCCTGTCCTGCCCTCATTCATTGTGAAGTCTGGCATAATGTTTGGTGTGGACTTTCGGTGTCCGGGCTTACTCGCTGTTTTTTCTATATGTCCAGCTGTGTCCTGTCAGGTTTATCTCAGTGACTGTTTCTTTGATCTTTTTTTAATAAAACAGGCCTGGTGCATTTGAGTGTAGTTCTGCTGACTTGGTTGAAGTTACATGTTTTTCTGTATCCTGAGAGTCGTCTCTGGCAGGGTGTGTTTCATGCTCTTAGCTGTGTCATCAGGTTGTGATTGCCCTTCCTATATTAACTGTGCTTTAGCTTTCAGGAGGTCGACTGTGCCTGGGGCAAAGGTTGTCAGTTTCTGTATCAGATGTTATTTAAAACTTCTATAATAACTATTTTAGCATCAATGAAGAGAGCTGGATTTGTAGCTTTGGCAAGAGAGGCAGGTGAAGGAGAAAGAAACTGCTGTTTAATTGTTGCACTCTGCCAGCACCATCTCTGAGAATGAGAAACTGCTACTCTGCATAATGCATGAATCTTGGGACATTTTTTATTAGTTAATTCCAGCTTTGAAATTAGAGCTGCTGTACTTTTCTTACCAGTCTGCTCATTGTGCTGTAAAATGGTTGTTAAGTTTTGGGATAATCAGCACCCTTGGTTTTGAGTTGGGTTTGGTTTTTTTTCCTAGCTCTTTGAATTTTAGATGTGCTATGCTTCAGATCTGAAGAGAAATGAGGTTCTTTATTAGAAGTTGCTTATGGAGTGAGACACAGGGGGTCTGTAGAGCATTAAAACAGACTCTAGTGGAAGAGGAACTGGTTGGTAATCGGTCTGCTTCTGTCTGCTCCTTTGTTGCTTCTTTGTTATGTGTGTGTTTAAATATGTACGTACAGGTATATAGACAGCACCAAAGCATTGTTTCTCTGTTTTCCTAATGTGTTTTTCCAGTAAGTTAGTTATGGCATCTATATTACTGAGGAGCCTGATTTTCCTGACAGTTCTGCACAGCGTAATACACCACTTCTGGAAACGTATACAATCTAAACACATTTTTCTAATTAAAAAGACTGCATGACTTTTTCATGACTGACTCAAGGACCATTTTGTCTGGTCCTTTCACAATAGTTTTAACTTACGAATAAAATTGTGGATGTAGTTTTCAGTGGTCATGTATTATTTTTACTTCCCCCTGTTGTGTTTGTTCCCCATGGGCATGGGCATTTGTGTGAGTTGATTGGCAAAACATTTATGTCTCTGGGACTGTATGAGAGGGTGTAGAACAGTGTCCTAAATGACACATCTGAGTTGGAAGAACTTTTGGTAGTGAAATACTAATGCTATGCTTTGTCAAGTGTGTATATATATATATATGTATGTATGTATGCAATATACATATATATATATATATCTGTGTTGGTGTGTATAGATGTACCTTCCTGCATGTACCTTGATTGGGGAGTCTTCAGGTTACTTCCCATGTAATGATAAAGCTTTGGCTACAGCATACAGAATACACTGCCTGCTCCCACTAAAGTAACAGTTCAAATCAATTAGCAGCTTTACGAGTGCTTTCAAGCTTCTGTGACTTTGTGCCTGTCATTGGTACTCTAGCTCTGCGTGTTCTGTAAACTGCCCTTCATTTACTTCTTGCTTCTTTGTGCCTGTAGGGATCCAGAGTTTCTGCAGGGACCTTGTGGAGGTAGCAGATATCTTGGAGAAGACTGCCGAGAGCGCCGCAGAAGAAGCGGAGCCTAGTAATCCAAATCCAACCTTGAAGAAAATCTATGAAGGCCTCTCTCTCATAGAGGCCAAATTGCAAAGTGTATTTGCCAAACACGGCCTTCAGAAGATGAACCCTGTTGGTGGCAAATATGATCCATACGACCATGAAATAGTCTGCCATGTACCAGCCGAGGGAATGCAGCCGGGCACGATAGCACTGGTGACTCAGGATGGCTACAAACTCCATGGGCGCACTATCAGACATGCACTTGTCGGTGTGGCAGTAGAGTCACAGGAATGACATGGGCTTACCCATTGGCATCTGGGACCGTACTGCGCTGAGGAGCCCTCAGCATGCAGTTGCATGTCTTTACTTATTTATTAAGATAGGTTTGTATTGTATGTTGGCTTCTTTATAATGTGTGCAGTCATTTTGCCATGAATTCTAAGGTACTTGTATATTTAATAATCCTTTTTGGAGTATGTGGATTAGTACTAGGAGTCCTGCTATTTGTCAGAAACGTGGCACTGTAGCCCCTTTCTCCGTTGCTCATTTCTCCATTAAGACTTGTATGGGGAAGAGGGAAGATATGGCGGAGAAAGGGAAATTCTCTGAGAGCTAAGGAATCTTGTCTCCCAGTTCCATATCTGAGACGGACTCCTGCAGTGGCCTTCAGGAAAGTAACTTCTCTGCCTCAGTTTCCATATCTGTATTAAGGGAATATAATAATACTGACCTACCTCACAGGGACGTGGTGAGGCTTTTTCTTTGCAAAGCACTCAGAAAAGCAAAAGCCCAAAGGGCTGAGTATTATTGTCAGTCTGGTTTTGGTGTCTTCCCTTGTCCCCAGACCCTTCAGGTGGGGATGAAGATGATCACTTGAAATGACATTTAGGGGCAGCTTTTTCTCATGTAACTTCAGGAAAACAATCCTGAATTAATGAAATCTCTGTTGTACTGCAGTTGAATCGGGATGAGGTTTTAAAGAGAATTCAGTTGTTGGTCAGACTTTAACGTGTTAATATTTGTTCTCCAGCTAAAACTTCAGCTTGTCTCCTTGTTCCTAAAGGTAAAACAGGGAGCAGTGGTTCTTGGTAGAGCCAGAAAACTGTTCTCAAATCTCTCTTTCTCCAGCCAAAAAGTATATTTTAGAGGAGAGTAATCTCTTTCCCCTGATGGGTATTTGTGCAGCTTTCAAGCATGAGAAACGACATGCTCTTTGTTGCAGCTGCTGGCAAAATGGAGATGTGCCCTTAAGCAGGAAATCTGGACTGTTTTATTTTCTCGGCTCTCCAATCATTGTACTCAGATAACACTAACTTCCAGTTTGCATTCAGATTCTACTTTTGCTTCGTCATACTAAATATTAAACCTTTTGGGTTTTGATGCGAGGAGAAGAATATTTTCTATTAAAAATCTCAAGTGTACTTGAACCAGTTTTAGCAGCAGTGACAAGAAAGAGAAGCAGAAGGCTGAGGAAGTGAAAGCTGACCTCAAGCCATCCTCTTAGTTGGAGACATGTTGTTGTCACAGCCTGGCATGTGTATTTCCCAGTGGTCCTTTTGCCTGAGAGTCCATTTACCTCAGCTGAAAGGATGCAGTCACTGAATAAGATCAGAATTTAACCCTTTACAGAGCAGCAAGCAGTATAATTACAGAAGAGTTATATGAACCAGCCTAGGGTCTGCACTACAGGAAATCAAGGCAGGAGTGGTTGTTTTCAGGTTGTTTCTTACTGATTCGTTAATTCTTGCCTTTTTGCTTTCTGAAATTGGATCTGTGGCCTGACAGTTATTTGACATCCACTTCCAAAAACTCTTTACTTACAGTGGATGCCATCACTGGTTTGGAAGAAAGCTTATTCTTCTCCCATTCCTTTGCAGGCTTCAGTTGCATAATCCTTTTGTGGTGGACATCAAGACTACCGCAGCCTTCAATTAGCAGCTGTTGACAGTCTTTCATCTGGGGAGACTATGTGCGCCTAGTTGGTTGTCATTCCAGAAATTTAAGGAAGATGCACATTTCTAATGCTCCGTGAAAGCTGCTGTAGTGACAGCCGTATGTGGGTGACTCGGTAGTGGATACGTTTTGAAGTGTGGTTTTCTGCCTCTGCGTAGTTAGGTTTTCAGGCAGGTACTTGAGATTTCAACCCTGAAACAGCACTTCATGGCAGCATCAGATCACTTTGGACAAACCTCCTGTCAGTGGTCTTGTTTTATCACGTTGTTGGAAATTTCAGAGATATATAGGACTTCTGTCCATTGTTTTGCTGATCTGCGTGCTGACTGAGTCACCAGGTTACACTGTTATGCAAGACAAAGAACAGGTAAAATATGAAACGTGGCAATGGAAGTCTTGCTCTTCTGCCTCGAGACTGTCTGCAGCCTGTTCTGAGGAAACCGTGTCCTCAGCTGGAAGGCGCGTTTGGGTTCTTTGCTGCCTCTTTAGCCCCTACGATATCAGCTGAGTCTTTTTGCAATATGAGGGGAGAGTTGGTTATGGAAACTTAACTTTGAATGTGAACCTTTATTTATAAGGAACTAAACAAAAGCAAAGGCATTTTACGGAACAGGTCATTTTCTGTCGTAGAAAGGCTGCAGCTTACCTAAGCCGGATTTAAAAGTAGTGTGTGACCAGAAGCGATGAGATCCAAATCCTCTTTATACTGGCCCATGGAGCCACTTGACTGTGAAAGTATGCTACAGCTACTTGGTCCGCTTTGGGACTATTTGCCAAGCCTGCCAGCCTCCTCAGCTAGTATTTGCCCATTTTTGCCTTAAAGAAATACCCTAAAATGCACTCCAGACCCTCTGTCTGTACTAAGATGCAGCCTGTATATCTGGGATCCGCTTTCACTGAGGCACTGTTGTGTGGCTAGAGCAGGAATCTGAGGGATCCAGTTCCTGTGCAATCTTTCTCACTCCCCCCACAGGCCCTGTTAAATTTTGGGCAAGCTGTCTTCCCAGTTCATGGCCCAGTTTCTTTCAATCTATGAAATTTCTACAGGATCATATCAGGCTTTTAGGATGATTACTGTAAGATGTACCATTGCTTAGAGGCTCTCTTACAGAAGTTACCAAAGAGATAAATACTGTAGCTGTCATTTGTCCTAGTTTCTGCTTCCTTTGAATGAAGTGAAAATTAAGTAACCAAACCTGGATTCCATCACAGAATACAGATTTCCTAGGCAAAATTTTTGATTCTCTTGCCTTTCAAGCACACTTAAGGATCTCTTTTATCGTGGATGATATTGTATAAGGGTGAATTGAATTACTCCTTTGTAGGTTCTTGCTCCGTTGTCTGCCCTGTTTGTGTAAAGCTTGCACACTCAGCACGGCGGGGCAGGGTCCCTGTTGGTGTGGTTGCATTGCACTCTGCAGAGTTACACCAGAGAGGAGACTGATCCATGAGTATTTTCTCTCCAGTCACTTTATTCAATGACTGTTTAATCAAACACAGGAGCACGTTAGCAGGGATGGAATAGCAGAGAAGAGGAAGCGTTACGTACCTCTCAGTCATTTCCACACTCTTTGCCCAGCTATGAACTGAAGAGCTCGAGCTGGGAATGCAGACAACTAGCTAAGACGTGCATGTGGTGGTGATGTGTGGACCTGTGTTTCTGCTCTGGGGAAGTGGGCAGCCCCACTGTACATGGGTGTTTGCCTTGTTCTGGGACCTTGTCATACCCCATCAGTGGGACATATTTGAATTGAACTCCTGGATGAGTCTCCAGTGGCACTGTCTCATGAGCAGGGCAGGATCTTAACTCTGACCAGGAGCAGTGCAGAATGTGAATGTTGCTTTGTGAACCTTAAATTCTCAGTGCTTCAGCAGCAGAGCTTCTGTTGGAAGAGACAGCTGTGATAAATCAATAGCTATTAGCAGTCCTTTAACTTTAAAAAAAATTATTTAAGTTTTATATTGTGAATATTGTAGTATTTTTTTATTTTAAAACTTGAGATGTTTTGATATTACTTGTAAAGTCAAATGAACAAAGCGTTGCTAATCTCCAAAAATGTAAGTCCATTTAGTTGGTGGGGAACCTGTATATATTGTATGTTTTTGTGTTTCTGTGCTCTTTGTTTACCCAAAGGTTCTGGCTGTATGAAAGACAAAGACTGACTGTGGGAGTGGTGCAAGGAATTGAAAACGACATTTGAGTTAATGTTGGAAAGGGCTGATTTCCTTTAGGTGTCCAGATACTGTCCATTTGCTAATAAAAGAATTGCAGTTCCTTCTTTTTCCATTTTTCCCTGCCTCAAACTGCTGCTCGTTCCGACTGCCACTTTAATCACGTGAGACTGCAGATTGAAAGGTTTCTCACTGTTCCTGATCCGTTTGTCTAAAATAAGAGCTATAGTCCGTGGCAGTACTTTGCTGAATATTTTATTAACAGTGCTTTAGTTGGAATACCAGGAATGCATACATGCATGCACATCATCTTTCTTCACACAGGTGAGTTGTTGGGGATTTCTGCACTGATAAACTGCCCAGGTGTGGTGTTCTGTGTCATTCCATGTCTGTTCCTAGCCAGTCCACTCATGGACCATCGTGCAGAGAAATGCCAGCCTTTGGTGGTGGTTCATTCTGCAGAACTCTGCTAATAGTTGACGTACCTGGTATCTGGTTTTATATTTGCCATTCTGTTCTCTCCCAGCTCCACTTTGCTGCATTTTTGCCCTTTGGTGTGTGGTGTGTCGTGGCAGGCATATGGTACGGCAGCTCGATTCAGGTGGTTTAATATACAGTGTGTACTAATGCTTGTAGTACCCACAGGTGGGTTATGATTTAAGGATTTGTTGGAGAGAACAGGCTTTTTCTGTAGGGGTATGACTGTAACAGATCTCGTTCTTCCTTCACCTGTCCTCTGCAAAACCAGCCAGGCCTCCATTCCTGGCTTTACCTTAGTCTCCTAACACGTGGTGCCATGTCATGGGGCCTCGCTTGCCTTGTTCTCCTGAAGCTCTGAATGTCCCTGGGTGCTTCTGGCTAGAAAAAAAACTTTTGCAAAAGACCATTTACAAATGGCCTTTCTGTGGTGAGATCTACATTTTTGTGCTAAAGATCTGCCAGCAAAGCCCCCTGGTGATCCTGGAGGCAACATCCCATTATATGAGCTCTTCCTCGTTCTGCCTGATGGCATTGCTTGATGGCATTGCTCTGTTAGCCAGCCTGGACCAGGAAATACGGCTGCCTGCTGCTGTGTTAGTAACTTCTGGCTCTGCTGGTTTTTCTCTGCAGCAACAGTGAGAGTTGAGTGTTCAAACTACGGCCACATGGGCTGCTGTGAGGGAGGCGACTGGGATTGGACTGACCCAGGCTCAGAGGAGCTCTGCTGCGAGTACAGACAGATCTCGTGCCTGCCACAGCCATGGGGAAATCAGGCTGGTTAAGTAAGAGTTCGTTAAAAGCTGAGGTGTACTGCAGAGATGTTGGTGTGCTGTGTTTAAAGCTGCTTTGG